AGGTGCTTGTTGATTGAGAAAAAAGTACCTAAGGAGTTCTGGGTAGAGGCAGTTAACACTATTGTTTATCTTCTCAACCATTTGCCAACAAAAGTATTGGAGAAGAAAACTTCATATGAGGCCTGGTATGATGTCAAACCAGATATCTCACACTTTAAGGTGTTTGAGAGCAGTTGTTACACTCATATTCCTAATGTAAAGAGAGATAAGCTAAGTGAAAGGGCCGAAGTTGGGATATTGGTTGGTTATTGCAACAATGCCTAAAGATATAGAGTGTTCAATCCTAGACAAAAAAAGGTAATCTCCAGCAGAGATATCAAGGTGAATGAAGAAGCTATGTGGAATTGGGAGGAAAGCTCTATTGAAAAAACAACAAGAGGACTGATTCCTCAAAACAAAGAAGGAGGAATCAGTGAAGATGAAATAGAACCTGATGATGATTCAGATTCAGAAAATGACAGAATGAATATGAAACCTCTTGTAGACATTTATGCAAGATATAATGCTGCTATAGTTGAACGTGCAAACTTTGATGAAGCATCTAAATCACCTGTTTGGATGGCTGCAATGGAGGAAGTGATCAAGATGATTGAGAAAAATGAAACTTGGGAACTAGCTGACAGACCATTGGACAAGCAAGTCATAGGAGTAAAATGGGTATATAGGACTAAGCTAAATTCTGATGGCTCGGTCAATAAATTAAAACCCAGATTGGTAGTTAAGGGTTATGCTCAACAGTTTGGTGCTGATTTTACTGATACTTTTGCCCCAGTTGCATGATATGGTACTATTAGATTGCTTATGGCTATTGCTGCTCAAAGTGGTTGATAAATCTACCAATTAGATGTCAAATCAGCTTTCCTAAATAGCTATCTAAATGAACAGATTTTCATAAAATAACCTGAAAGCTTTTAGATAGAAGAGAATGATGATAAAGTTTATCTAGTAAAGAAAGCCTTGTATGGCTTGAAGCATGCTCCAAGGGCCTTGTATAGTCGAATTGATAATCACCTTGGTTATCTTGGTTTTTCAAAGAGTTTAAATGAACAAAATCTATATGTAAAATAAGTAGAAGTAGAAATGGTCATCATATCACTCTATGTTGATGATCTCTTAATCACAGGTAGCAGCAACAAATCAATTAGAGAAGTGATAAATGAATTGAAGAAGGCTTTTGAAATGACTAATCTGGGTGAGATGCATTACTTTCTAGGAATGGAGATTTTTCAAGATCAACAAGGAATTTTTATCAGTCAAAGGAAGTTTGCAAAGGATG